CTGCTGAATCACCCTGTTGTAACCCTGCAGGGACACTAATGTGTTTCCCTTTGGAGTGGTTACAAATACTGATGATTTCTAGCCTAACCACACCCCCCAGGCAAAGCAAACTATAGGATTTCAACTTCTACTCTGAAATTCTACTCTGAAATTCCAGGGACTTTTTCTGTGTCCACTATGCATGCGTTGGGTAGATCTTCAAAATCCTGAGTTGCTAGACTTAATGGTCTGCAAGTGAAAGACGGATGCTCTGGAGATCATGAACTGTTTGACTGGGAGACTAATTTTTATAGGGAAGAAAATTTCCAAAAACTACAAATATGAATGGAAGAATGTTTTTCTTTTTTCCTTCAAAATTAGAACTGTTGGGTGTTTAATACTCAAAACTGTGCCACTATAAAAAAAAAAAAAAAAAAAAAAAAAAAATTTCCCCATCAGTTCAGAACTAAGCCACCTTTTAACTGCTGTTTAACTGTTAGAATATGAGGGCATGATTGTAAAGAAAGGAGAGTTTGACTAGCCTATGAATGTCTGCAGGTGATTATTTTTGTGAGACTAGGGCTGGGCTCTAATAATGTTTTAGTAAATGTTGCTGAAAATTTTAAGTAAACAGAGTTCCGGCATACTGGACTTCAGAATTGCTTGTAGCAAAAATGGCTCAGATAGCTTTCTATCTGGTCATAGTGTGATTTGCCCAGCCCTAATCAAGTTTAAACAATAACACAACTGTACAGACCAGTATAGTAATAAATTGATTTTAGTTGATAAATGTCAACTGATAACTTGTCTTTTGAAATGTATAACATTAGTAAGCTTACTTTTTTTTCTCCTCACTGTGCAACTTTTCCAGGTTTGGACCTTATGAGTCTTACGACTCCGGGTCTTCTCTGGGTGGGCGAGATCTGTACAGATCTGGCTATGGTTATAATGAACCCGAACAAAGCCGCTTCGGAGGTAGTTATGGTGGTCGATTTGACAACTCCTACCGGAATAGCCTTGACTCTTTCGGAGGTAGAAACCAGGGCGGGTCTAGCTGGGAAGCACCTTACTCCCGTTCAAAATTGAGGCCTGGGTTTATGGAGGACAGAGGAAGAGAGAGTTACTCTTCCTACAGCAGTTTTTCTTCACCCCATATGAAGCCTGCACCTGTAGGCTCTCGGGGGAGAGGAACGCCTGCTTATCCTGAAAGTGGATTTGGAAGCAGAAACTATGATGCTTTTGGAGGACCATCAACAGGCAGAGGCCGAGGCCGAGGAGTAAGTACAGAATCTTTTCAGATTCTTTTCACTAGACACTCTTTTAAACCCTTTCAAGACCACTGCTTTAAATGAATGCACTGTCCGGTACAGTGCGGGGTTTTCGTCCAAGCAAACTGTCGTGGTTGGCAATGTTGTTTACCCCCTTGAAGCTGTCTTCAAGTAGAACCCAGTCCCTCGTTCTGTTGAAAGCAATGAGTCGTAGAAGACTAGTTGATAAGGTTTGTTAAATCTCTCCTTTTGTTTGAAAGGTGAAGAAAAAAGTAATAGGTTTGGTCTAAAAGGGATTAAAAGGACTTGCATTTTTCCTTGTAAACACTAGCATCTTTGCTGCTGGTGGGGAAATTCTTGAATATTGTAAAAGTTTAATTCAAAGTCTATTGAAGTTTTGAGTAGGTTAAAGGTGCAATGTATGAGCAAAAAAACAAACCCCAGGTTGTGAATGCTAGAGTAGTTTTTGTTTCCTGTTCTTTAATATGTTGAACACGTGGTTTATCAAACATCAAGTCTTCTTTTAAACTTAATTCTTACTCTGACTTGTGTGTTGGAAGGGTGATGGGGAGGAAATGGCAAAGGTGGGTGCTTAGCAGTTAGTGATTCTTTTTCAAATTTAAAGCATGGTTAAAGGGTCATCATCAACTTGAAATCAGGTCTTTTCACAGAGTTGAGATTAATTTCCAGATAGAGTGTCTAGTCTTGTTAATTACCTTTGTTTTGTTTTGAAGACTTACCTTCTAACTCCTTTTCAGTGGATTCCTTTCCAGTGTAGGATGTAAAACCTAGTTGTCCAAGAAACGGTGAGATTCTATTTGCAGACAAAATAGTGGATCACATTTTGGAGCTAGGGGGGGAAAAAAAAAATAAACCAGAAGAGAGTTAAAAAAAAAAAAAAAAATACTGACAGAAGTGTTAAATTTAAGTTGATGATGTCCCTTAATCTTGGTTTTACAATCCCCACTCCAATTATGTTTTTCTTAAGCATGAAGAGTTCAGTGAACGCTTTTCTGCCTGTACCTTTAGGTGTAATTTATCTTTTAAAATTCTTAACCATGCCATATTTCTTTGGGAAGCGATTCTTTAGGGTTAAACCTTACAACTTATTTGCAGCTTGAAGTGTAGAGGAAGATCATTTTTTACTGGGTCTTTGAAATGTCTAATTGTGTGGTGGTTTTGTTCCAGAAAGTCTACTTTGCAGCATTCTTGGGTACTGTAGTTGCCATGTTCAAATGTTAGCTCTGATTTGCACATGGCTGCTAGCTATCATGTCGCAGGATATGAGAAATGGATTCTTTGTTTCTCTGCTTGTGAACCTGAAAGTATTAAGTTCTTAGGCTTGGGTGCTATTCTTTCAGAACTCCTTTAGGTCTGAAAGTTTTCTGCAAAGTTATGACCAAGTAGCCTTAGTTCTTTTTGTTTTGCTTTTGAAATTTATCTTTTTAGTCTCTTACATAATAAAGGAGAAGGTCAAGGCTAAACTACTTACCATATGTAAAATGCATTGCACCTTTAATAGACAGACTGTCTGTTTAGAAAAAAAGACTACTTGAAATTATCCAAGAGCATACTTCATGTCAAATTTATGTGTACAGTGTAAGTGTACATGTTAAGTTAATTTCTTTAGCTGAGACAGTTATATAACTAACATGGAGAACCTTGTGCATGGATTTCTGATTAAGAAAAGTGCCTGTTCTGGTACATTCTGTCTGTCATTTAAAATTTGCTTTAAAAAGGTCATGCTTTTCACAAAGTATGTTGAAGGATTTTTAACTGTAAAAGAACACTCTTAACTTCAGTAGTATAATACTAATTCTCTTCTCATGGCAATACAAATATTTCTGCTTATCCAAGTCACCCATCCAGTCAGTGGGCTCTCTTCTGCCCTTTATTAATCAAATTATTGAGTCAATATTAAGAAGCATGTTAGCATTTTTGAAAATACTGGAGCTACCTCAGTTCTCCATCTTCAGATGACTCATTTCATGCCTTCAGAGATTGAACTTTCATAAACAAGTGTCCATAAATGGCTGTGCAGCATTTTAGAAGTAATAGAAAGCTTTGGTCTTTCAGCTGAGTTTTCACTCTTGTTCCTGCCATGTTTTTGTATCACTCCATGCGGGTCCAACTTTTAAATAGCAAATGTATTGAATTCAGTGCAAAGATAAGTAAAACAAAGAATGAGTTTCCATCAGTTAGTTGCTGTTCCACACTGGACAGCTGCCTTCACTCCGTTTTTGGATCACTGCTAATCATTTGTCAGAAAGAAGCTTAAGAAGCTTGCTTTTTTTTTTTTTCACTGTTGACAAAAGTGTTGAAAACTGGGTTGGTTAGCTTTTTTTTTTTTTTTTTCCCCCCAGAGGGAGAATCATTTATAATCTAGAGAATCTGAAGAGGAGCCAAAATGTTAAGCTGAGATATGAACTCTGATAGACGTGTTCATTGTCTGGACAATGGTTCTGAATAAGCAGAAACACTTTATACCTATATATTCATTCTACTACACGAACAACCACAAAGCCATTGCACAACACAATATAAAACTGGGAGCTTAAATTTACCCTGAATTTTGCTCTAGAAGTCAGATTGTTACTTAGTTTACAGTTTTATTATACCAATTAATTGTTTTATATCTATTGATTTAATGTATTAATACATTTCTCTTGATTTCACAAATTTTCAGCATATGGGAGACTTTGGAGGAATGCACAGACCTGGAATTGTTGTTGACTATCATAACAAACCCAGTCCTGCAGCAGCTGCTGCAAGAGGAATAAAAAGAAAAATGATACCACAGCCATATAACAAACCTGGTGGGACATTTATCAAGAAACCCAAAATGACCAAGCCTATTTTGAAGCTGAGCCAGAAAAAATCACCTAGTAAGTAACAAGTGCCAGAATTGTAAGTTAAAATCAGTTATTTTCTTTTTATCCATTAGGAATTATTTAGTTTCAGTGTTCAGAAAGAGAACTGTATGTGCCGTTTTGTAATTCTTCAGTTTCTTCCTTTGAGGTACTTGACAACAGATTCTATGAATGTGCTTTTTATACTGCAAGATATTTTGCTGATTTAATTGGGTTTTTTTATGTGTTTAAATATATACTGTTGAAGACTATGTCATTCAGACTTTGTGTTTCTACTCCCTGGAGGCAAATTTTCACCACTGAAAACAATTTCGTATCTCAAGTTGCTTTAAGTGACAGTGCCTGACAAATATTAAAATATGCACTTCAGTGAGCCTGGGCACTGCTGCCCAGACCTTAAAACATGCCCTTGCAGAAGCCTGAGCCCTGCTGTCCAAATACTTTGACAGATGCAAAAAGTAGTGCATCAGCTGCAGTGCGGCTAAAATAAAGGCACAAGGTGTGGGTGGAGAGGGAAAGGGAGGCAAACTGAGAAAACTGTATAAGTCGTTACAGAATAATTTCTAAAAGGGAGAGATTGCTTCTTCCTGTAAGTGAAATGTAATGAAGATAAGAAATGGAAGTATAAATTGCGCAGTATTAGTGGTGCTTGGTTGGTTTGGCTTTCCTAAAGATGTCCTGCAACTCTAATAATTTAATTTAATAATTGCAGGCAACGCTGGAGGAAAAAATCACTAATGAGGTTTGAATAAATTCTTTGGTTTAAGGGAATGTAAACTTGAGTTATTACGAGCAGCGTGTACAGCAGTCAAATTTCAGGGTTTTGTGCTTGTAATGTCCTCAGTCATGTGGATCTACAGTGTACAGCTTGGTTTTAAATCACACCTGAAAAATGTTTAAAATGACTTTTGTTCAACACTTGCAAGGTAAATGCACAGACTTAGCAGAAACTTCCACGTGAAAATTTTTTCATTTTTATTTTACAGTTCTAGTTACACTAGCGTGTATTACAAAACTGTTCCCTTAACTTTAACTTCAGGGAGTGCTGTGAAAATTTCAGGCACTGGGTGTATAGAACATGTTCCTCTGCCTTTTGTATAGGGAACATTATTACTGGATTCCCCAGCTTTGTTGTGATGAAACGGGTCTGTAAAATATAGCCAGCTGTATCAAAGACTTGCATCTCAAAGGTCTTCCTCTTGGCTCTTTTTTCAGTACTTCTGTACATTCTCTTTTTATAAACTGCCTTCAGACAGAGCACTGCTAGTTTATTATCTGTTCCCCCTCTCTCATTTCCAGCACCCAAGGACGAATGTACTGCATAATATTGAAGCTACTTTAAGAAGTGGGGCAGAGAGCGCCTACTAGAATGCATTTTTATTCAGCCTGTCTTGTGGCTCTGAGCCTGGGGAGAGGAAGCTGTTGGGTGGCTTAGCACAATCTTCTGAAACTTGAACTGAAAGATGCTCAAAGTGGTATCATGTAGTTGAAAACTAAAAAGTGGGTGATAACAGAAAATTGGGTGCAATTGCCATGTAATATATGTATGAAAATATTTCTCAAAATTTTGTCATTTCAGTCCTAACTTTCTTATTTTGTGGAGTTAGATATAGGTGATCTCTTCTAGACGAATGTAATTCATATTCCTAAAGATAGCTGATTTATATTTAGTATTATTACAAAATATAAGCTGTACATGTATACTGTCTTAGCTGCATAACAAGCTGATTTTTTTTTTTCTTCTAAATATCTTGTCTTTAAACGAATTGACAGTGACAGCACTTCTGCATTATTTAATTTTTCCTCATTTTATGTTTGTAGACATGAAGTCTTTCCAGGATTCTACTATAGAGGTAAAGAATCCCAGAATTGGAAAATGTTTGTGATATTTTTTTTTTTTTCAGAAGTTTGTACAGTCTACCTTAAGATGACAAGTTATTAAGCTAGAATGATAAAAACTAGGTGCTTATATAGTGAAGTTTTTATAAACTTTTTTCTTCATTTTATCTGAAACTGTATTATTTTGATAGTAGTCTGAAATCCTTACTGATTTCAAGTGAAAGATACATAGCTTGTGCAGATGGTCTGGAAAATTAATTTTAAAGTGTATTTGTAGATCCTATATGTTCTTGTAATGCACAGAGAGCTGTAATACAAACACTGCTCATGGTGTCCTAGGCAGTCAGCTTGACTTCCTACACCTATGACCTGCTTTGATGGGTTGAGAGATAAGTTACAAAATGATAGGGAAATTACTAAAGAGCAGTGAGGAAGCATGCATGGGACACATCAAGGAGAGAGGAGAAATAAAAACAGAACCAGTGTTAACAGGTGTTCTTTGATAGGGTACAAAGATTAGTTCCCACATACAGAAAGATCAGTTGCTACAATATGTAAGAACATATTAGTAAGTTAAGCATGTATATATATATACGTATATATGTTGTTCCTTGTTGAAAGACTGGAATAATATTTTCCTTCTTTTGAGGTGGAGGTGTTAACGTATTCTCAACGAAGTATTTAAAAGTCTGAATTGAAAGTCAGGATGTTTGTGTAGAATACAGAATTTTGATTGGGAAACTGATTAAGAAAGACTTTAAGGCATGAAGGAGAAATGTGTAGCTTGAAGTGTTTGTACACTGAGTCTAACTAGTTAGATACTCAACTCACTTTCATGTCATGTTTGATAAAAATAGCAAGTGACAGATTATTTGAAATAAAATGATTTACAGTGTCTTTTTCTGGATTTAGAATGTAATTATTTTGTGTTGGCTTTTTTCTTACAAAATTTGTGCATTTGACTTTATTAGGAAATCGAAGTGGACACAAGTGGTGCAGTTGTTATATATGAAGACTTTACAAGAGATGCTTATGACCTTGGATATCAGACTTTTGGAGGTAAGCCACTTTGCTTTATCAGGTAAGGAATTGTAGGTATTGCATCTGTGTGACTTTGAATTAATAGATTTAGTAAGCCTGTATGTATGACATCTAGTTATTGAAGGAGCATGACTTTTTTAAAAAAAAAAAAGTTCAGAAATTTGGCCGTGGAGAAGGTGATTATTTGTAATGTCCATCCCAATGTTTTTGTTCTTTACATGCTCATTGTCTCTCTTTCTGATCACCTTTGTATGTTGTTGTTTGACTTGTTTTAATTTTTGTGAAACTGATGTAAATGGTCTTCTATATTTACTGCCATTCCATTGCTTAAATGTTGGTTACCCACTGGTTCCTCACACACAGGCTATTATTTATCCCACTAGCTCGTCAACCTCACCCTTAAATCCTAGGTGAGTCACTTTTATAAAAGTGGAATTAGTTAACTCAGAGAGCTCCTCTCAAGAACACGGGGTCTGTTTCATGTGCAGACTTAATGAAACAGGTTAATTATTAGTTTACATAAAGTCAGTTAAAGTGTATATTAACTAGTTATTTCAAACACATACCCAAAGTAACCTAGTGTTAAGGCTGAAATTATTTTTAGACCCGTTTCCCATGTGTGCTGCCCTGCTGGTTGTGTAGTGTAATTTGATGGTAAGGAGTGCTGCAAATATGCAACCAAGTCATTAGAGTTTCTTGTCTTGACATAGTACGAATTTGTGTGTAAGTTTTCTTCATTTTTAAAAGTTTGTGTAAGTGCACTGAAGGAAAGTGGGAGCTCCAGTGGGAAGTCTCATTTTATATTTAGATTGAGACTTCCATTCACCAGCTTGTAATAGGATTGGCACTTGAATTCATGAGCTTGAGGGACAAGAGGTAGGCCATTTCACCCCACAAACTGTCATACCAGGTGGTTTTTACAGCAATGAAATGAGCCTTTGCACATTTACAGTAAGTAAGTAAGGCAGTAAGTGGAATTTAAATCCTGAGATCAGTAATGGGAATTGCCTCTGTGTGGGGGTGTTTGGTTTTTGGTTTCAAATTAAGATGTTTCCTACTTTCCTGCTTTGGGTAGGAATTTTTCTCCTCTCTGGATCAGAGTAATTTTTGAGCTTCTTTGCTAGCAAGTGAAAAACCTTGGGGTAATCATGAGTGAAGTGTAAGCTGTTCATCAGTGGAAATGTTTTCAATACTCACTGACATTCTAGGGTCTCAGTTTTTTGAAATTTTTTTTTGTTTTTCATTACGCTGCTGTATGTTCCTTTCTGTTACTGTTTGAATGGAGGCAGATTTCAGTGGAGGAGGTTGACATCTCTCCTAACGCTGAACTGCAAAAGAAAACTAAGGGATCCTTTTTCCTGCTCTAAAACTGCTCACCAAATAATATGCTAATTGTTTCCATTTGTCCGTAGGCTTTTAAAGCAGATGTGGGAAAGGCAAGCACAAGTACACTTATGCAAAAAGTCCCATGTTCTTAGAAATTTTTAATGTTGCAGAACTAATTTCTAGTGATTTATTTGCTTGCGCTCCTACTTACATGCCAGGTGATAAATTAATGGAGTTCTTCATAAAACTTCATAAAGCTTTGGTAGTTTTTTTTTTCTGTGTGGTGGTTTTGCTTTTGTTCTGCCCCCTGTCTTCTCACTGACTGTTCTTTCACTGGTTTATTTCTTCAGCTGAAAATCTTTTGAAAATTTTTCTGTGAAAAGCAAAGTCTGTTGAGGAAAAATAACAACATTGTTGGTTGGGTACTGTACCTTAGTGAAGCACTACCTTATCTCCTTTATGAGAACTTTTACTTTTAGAAACTGCCTTCTCAGCACGAGAGAATGGTTTTAGATAGTTTCTTTTTATATAAGAGGATTGTAGCAATGGTACTCTAAAAACCGTGGGAAGTTTCAGATAATGTTGTTTCTCCCCATGTATGCCAGCACCCTTTCCTGGTCACTTCCTTGAAGAGGCCTTTAACAAGAGTTTGCTTTAACTCTTGACTTTCCTTAGTTTTGTGAGTGTAATCTAGAGTCTAACCCCTTAACTACTAAGTTTGCATTATTGGAAGCAGGTGTTTAAATTGGTTGTCTTTAGAGGAGGGGGGAAAAGAAGCACAACTTCTCTGGCATTTAAATAAGCCACTGAACCACTTCAGTGTAGAGTCTTTCTGTGTTTTGAGGTGTTGGGTGAGGAGGCAGGGAAGTCAGATACTTTTATGGGGGTTTATTTTTTGTTTGTGTGGTATTTTGTTTGTTTTGTACTTGGCTGGTTTTTGAACTTAACATTTTAAAATTCTTCTACTGATTAAGATGGCAAAGGAGAAGTCAAAAGTGAGGAAGAAGAAAAGCGGCGAATTGAGGCCAGAAGAGAGAAGCAAAGGCGCAGAAGGGAAAAAAACAGTGAAAAATATGGTGATGGATACAGGTTTGTGCTATGACTTTTGTCATGTGTGCAGTGTTTTTCTTCTCTTTTATCCTTCTGTAAGAGTATGCCTTCTTTTCTGAAAGGCCTTGGCCTGGTGTTAGGGAAATGAAATATAATGAGGGTAGGAGCAAAAAACCACACACCCTTCCCGCCACCCCACAGCACCCCACCTCCAAAACAAAAAAAGCTAACTCAAACAACCAATTTTTTTTGAGCTATTTTGTACCAAACATAAATAAGTAGTTCTGTAATTTTTTTTAGTCTTGCCCCAGTCAAGTGGGCTTATGGCCAGCACTGTACAAAACTGTTCCAAGTCAGTGCAGTATGGAATCATAACATTATTACCATCTCCTCGTACTGAGGAGGCCATATTTCCATATAAAGATTATATAGGTTTTGTATAGAAAATGAGCTTTGGATTAATTCTTTTGACTATTTGTAGTTAGGAAATGATTGTCTTCAGTATGAGAAGTGCTACAAAAGGTGACACAAACTAGAGAACTGTAACAGATACGCTCGCAGAATAGTGTGGCTAGCTTCCGATTTTAGCAGTTTTCATCTCCTGCACAGGTAACTCTATTCTGAGAACGACCTGGTTTGTGTCTATTTCTTGTAGCAGTTATCCTTCATAATGATCAAATAATGGGGTTTGTTTTCATTGTATTTTCTTTTTCACTTGGGCGTCTTTAAAGAATGCTTTTCTTGTTCCTTTCCTGTTGAGGTTTGTCAAGTCCTCATACTTTAACAGAGAGATGGAAGAATGTTTCTCAAATAGTAATATTACTTAATGTATTTCTTTTCATAGAATGGCATTTACTTGCTCGTTTTGCAAATTTCGAACGTTTGAAGAAAAGGAAATTGAGGCACATCTGGAGAGTGCAGCTCACCAGGAAACATTGGATCATATCCAGAAGCAAACAAAATTTGACAAAGTAGTGATGGAATTTCTTCATGTAAGGCAACTATTTTTCAATCTATATAATACTTTTATATTAGAACGTAAAAAACAATTTACTGTTTATTTTTCAAATTATGCTTACTTTATTTTAATTATTTGTTTTGCAGATAACCTTTGGCATAGCACGTTAGTAAAAGCAAATTCAGAATCTATAGAATAGTGTTACCTTTACAGTTGAAAGTAGTGCCTTAATTAACAGCAATTAATTAGTATTTATTACAGACTTGTTCTGAGTAGTATTTTAAGTATAGGTTCCTACTGGAATGTAAACACTTGTACATCAGCTGTGTTACAGTTTTGCTTCCCTTATTTCCATGTAGGAGTGTATGGTGAATAAATTCAAGAAGACAGCTATGCGTAAGCAGCAGACGAGTAACCAAACAGAAAATGCTCAGGCTGCTGAAAAAGATATAATGGAAGGTGAGTAATGCTTTTCATGTGAAAGTGCATACTGTGGAGGTCTGCTTGTCCTTTTCTCAGTTAATTGTTCTCCAAATTTGATAAAATGTTTGGATTAAAATGATTAGTTTTCGTACTTAGTCTGTATCTGGTTGGGATTCCTTGCATCATTTCTGATATGATGTGGAATGTAAGCACAGTGGGAGATAGCAAACTTCATGCTTGCTAAGTAGGTAGCCTTGTCAGAGAGTAAGATAATGTGCTAGGTACTTGACAAACAGAATTCTGTGTGCTTTGCCAGTCTTATTCAGTGTAATGCTTGAGAAGTGGCAACAGGTGGATGCAGATAGACGGAAAGCAGGAAGGTCAAATGGTCAAATATGATGGCAAGGCTCTAGAAGATCCTTGTAGGATAGTTGCTGTTTTGAGGAGTGTTGACAGAAGTAGGAGTCTTAGCACTGTCTTGGCTACCCAAGATGCATCTCAGTGTGATTTCCCTTCCCCTCCCCCACCCCCTTTGGCTACCTTACAGGCAGTTTTCCAGAGAAGTTTTTGTGTCCCTGCCTTGCTGTATCGTATCCTTCCACTTGCTTGAGGGACTTCAAAAGATATGCCAGAGCTGGAATACCTTTACTTTAGGCAACAACTATTTGACTGTTATCTTAATTGGATTTTAAGCTACTTAAAACCAGATATCAGCCAACATCTTAACCATCTCCGATATTCTTTTTGTGTACTTACATGAAGTCCTCGAAGGCCTGTTTGTCTTTTTGGTCACAACATTCTGTTGGCAAGCTAATATTTAAATTTGCAGGAAGAATTTCATTCATTTCTTTCTGGTGGTGAGGGGAGGCAAGAAAATAAACTAGTTGTTCTTAGGAGAGGCAAAGCAAAGCCAACTTTGGTGAAGCTTTTTTTGTTTCTTATAGCAAAATGTGTATTATTACAGACATTAGTTATTGTTGATTTTAAGCAGGCAGCATTTTTATACATTAGGTACTTCCATTTGATTGTTGTATCGTTTTTATTTCCCTTTGTTTAGGGAAGTAGGTGTTCATGTATCACAATCTCAGGCAGCAAACAATTGCCTAGGTCTCGCATAGTCTGTGGAGAGAAGGAGATGGAATATTCAAGTGAAAACCTTCCTTCAACACTGTTTTCAGAGATCGAAATTTTCATGCCTGAATTTGAGTATATATTCCCTGTGGTTCAGTTTGACATGTTTAATAGCTGAGAGCTCTAATTTTCTGCTGTAAAACAACCTCTTCTACTTCCCTAGAGTAACATGTTTTGTATTACTGATTTGTTTCATCTTCTTTGACAGGGGTTACTGCTGATGACCATATGATGAAAGTTGAGACTGTTCATTGCAGTGCTTGCAGTGTGTATGTTCCTGCATTACACAGTTCTGTTCAGCAGCACTTAAAATCTCCTGATCACACAAAAGGAAAACAAGTAAGATATGATATATTATTAAAAATAAGGCAAGCATCGTCTATAATAGTAGGTGAGAAGTATTATGGTACTCAGTGCAGGTGGTTTCTATGTTCTTTTTGGATATTTCTTGTTCTCTAGAAAGCTAGAATGTCCTTGTTACATGTTGTAAACATAATGTCTCATGAAGTAGCCAGTGCTTAAGCACCCCCAGTTAATGAAATGTTGGTGTGCTTAATAGCTAACGATAGTTAAGTCCTTAGAAGGTTATTCTTATTTTGTGGGATTTTTTTTTTAACTGTCATGAAGAATTGGAAAGATTTTTGTTGTTCAGGTTGTAAAACATATGTACTACGCTTTCAGCAAGATATTGAAACTGGTGTCATCATTTTTGCTTGGCTGTTATGTTTTTAATTTGGTGTCAAGGGTTAGGGCTGGGCTGGCTGCTAGACAGATGAGAGAAAAGTGAGAGTTTAGATTTAGCAGTAGTATGGTAGTGGTCCCTGTTACAATCTGTAGTGACACACTTTTAAGGTGGGTAGAAGGATTGAAAGAGTAGTGTGATTGGGGAAAAATTGCAGTTGGGATTGGGATTGTTGGATTGGAAGGGACCTTTGATGGTCATCTAGTCCAACCCCCCTGCAATGAGGAGGGACGTCAGCAATGGGTTAGGCTGTGATGGAAAAGTGTCCTATCTGCAGATGAGAGCGAGGTAACTGGTTGTAGACAGATGAGTGGTTGTAGTTGGTCATACAAGCAAGATAGGAATATTATCTTGTTACAAAACCAAAGCAACAAACTATAAAAACTATCAGAATTGAGTTTATTATATGGTTTGAACTTAAATGCTAAGAATGAGCATTTTGTGCTTCTGTATGTTCATTATTGTCCTTACAGAAACTGGCCATGAATCCAAATCTCTGTGACAATTGTGTGAGAATAATTCAATGTAAAATTTGTTTCCTAGGCCTACAGAGAACAAATAAAAAGGGAGAGTGTTCTTACTGCCACCAGTATCTTGAATAATCCTATTGTCAAGGCACGATACGAGCTCTATGTGAAGGTAAGAACCAAATGGCAAACAAGTAATTTTTGATGTTTGCTCTAACACCATTTCCTCTGTGCTGATGGAGTTTAACCTCTGTGTTCTGTTCCTGCCTTCTGGGTAGCTCATGGATTAAGTGTACTTCTAATGTATTGGGCCAGGCTCAGGTCATTGTCTTGGATAACTTTGCAGAAAAAGTTGCCACCTTCAGATTTACTTACCCGCTTTTGGTTTTAGTTTACCATATATATGTATATTTAGTCAATTTTTAATTAGATGTTCTTATTACAAAAAATTAAGCTTTAGGAAGTCGTCAGCCGTGTTTTTATACGTAATACTAACTGTTGAGCACAAAACATTTCACCGGTGTATGAACTGTTACATTTAGAAGCAAGGGCTTCAGTGTGTGGCTTTGTACTAAAGTACAGTGCACACGCTACTCAGCTACTTACTGCGTAGAATTTCTAGGGTTTATGGCAGCATACAAAAAAATGAAAGCTTACCACAGTAGTTGTTGTGATTGGATAGTTTAAAAGACATGGCAGCCTATGTTGCAGGTACATGGCCTGAAAAACACATGAATTCATTTTGGCAAAATGTGGGGTTTTCTTCTGGGCCAATGAAGTGACTTCCTGGAGTAGTACCATTTTAGGTATTTCTGATAGTTACTTTTAATTGCTTTATAATTTTGCCTACGTTCAAACAATAGACTCTTTTCAGACAAAGCAATGCTGTTGCAGAATTATGACAAGACATGAGCCAATGCAGAAGTTAATTGTGATTTAAAATGTTAAATTAGTCATGTCCTGGAAAATTATGTATGATTTGGTGCATGAATCAGTTTCAGCCAACTGTGCTGTATCTGTTAAGAAAAGGTAGCAAGTGATGAGATACCACAACCTGGAATATCTGCATGTATTTCCAGCAGAGTCTTCTAGTGTTCCTTCTGGCCTGGGGTGTGTGTGTGCGTGTTTTCCCCTACAGCCCCCTAGTGGGGGACTGGTCAAGGAGGGAATGGAGGTTTATCATTCATCAGCTGGAAAACTGAGGAAGATAACATTTGTAAAATTGACTTCCCAAGGAGACTACTGTCACTTTCAGAATGCTTAGCACTGCCATTGCCTGATGGGGGTTGAACTGGGTACACGGTCAGCAGCACTTGCTCAGGGAGATCTGTCTGGCTTCTGCTTACACAAATCCCTCTCATCCTTGTATTAGGTGTGGACTGAAGGACTCCAGTTTCATTTTACAGCATGTGGTGAATCAGACCATGCAATTCACATGTTTGGTGCCTGCAGTCTTCCAGGGGAGTAGGAAATCCTTGTTACAGCTGAAAATAGCTTGCTGTCAGATGAAGGGCAGACAGGCTTTGGGAAATGCCTCTCTCCGTCCCCCAACCAGAAAAACCCAAACAAACAAGAACACTACAAACAAATCACAACCCAATGTTGTTTTGGGAAGTGGTGTCCACCCAACATATGCAGTGTAGAAAGAGAAAATTCAAAGCAGGGAAGACCTGTGAAGCTGTTGCACAGGTTTGTACCAAGTCACAAAGGCAGGTCATTAACATCACAAATGCTTTTGACAACAGGAGAACAAAACTGGAGGTCATAATCTCCTGATTTTTATGCATCTTCATTGATACACTTTGACATGAGCAAAAAAGATACTTTTTTGGTCTTTTCTGTTACACTGCTGGATTTCTTCATGTATACTGGGAAGTTTGTTCTTGTGATGTGTGTCCTAGAAGATGCGCATATCCCAAATAATTTTGACTTAGGGAAAACAAGAAAACTTTTTCTGGTGAGGCCAGTTCTGTTTCTAGAACCACACTCTGCTGAGAGTAGGAGCCATTCCATCTCTTTACCGTGACCAGTATTTGTGACACACCTTCTTCCGTTGTGGTTTTGTCTGCAAAAATTCTGTTGAAGTAGTTTTGATTGCCCCATTGAGCTACTGAGTAGCTGCTTGGAGGATGGCAAATGTGTCTTGGGTTGATTGGCTGGCTGACACCTGGCAGTGGGTGATCTATTTTGAGGATACTTGCTGCGTGTTGCATTGGAGAAGACTTTTCAAAGTTGAAGGCTCTGGCTGGTGAAAGGGTGTCGAGTAAGCCCATGCCCTTCATCTTGGAGGCAAGCAATAATAACTGCTGTCTTACTTTGGACACCTTGGCTGCTTCTTTTTGGGGAGGTGCCATTCTATCTGTGACTTCCTGCTTTACCCAGTGCTTAACTGAAAATCTCTTTTGCCCTTTGATTTAATCTGCTGTCCAACTAGAGACTGTTCCACAGGTCGTTTGCTGTATGGGCAAAACGAAAGCAAGCAAGTAGGTGTATCTATTTTAAATAAACTTACATCTTCAAATGTGCCATTCTATGAACACTTGGCTTCTATTTTTCTTTGACTACATGTTTCTACTTTGCACTTTAAAAATGAAAGCAGAAAGAAAATTTTTTTTTTTGCTGTAAACATAGTATTTTCATATTCACCATCTCACCATTTCGTTATGAAGTCAGTTTTAGATTTTCAGATCTGTAAAATCCTCTTTTTTAAGAAATAAATGCAGACTTGGTAATATTCACCTGTACATGTATACTTGAACTTAAATCTTTCAGCTGGCATTATAGTCTTGGACACATCAGCCCTAGCAAAGGTGTAAAGGTTAAATCACCCATGGTAATTTTCACTGAGTTAATCTGTTTTAAAATTTTTCTCTTTCATTTTAGCATGGTAAAGGTGTCTGTGGTGTCCACTGAAAATAGAGAGATCTCTGTGGAGTTACCCAAAGATAGTCCCTCATATGTTATGTGGGGGCTTTTTGTTTGTTTCAAGCCATTACTTGCAATAACTGGATTACTAGCAATTACTGTCCCAGCAACATGGAAAGCAGCTTCAGTAAATTAGATTATGTGGCTTTAGAAAAGCTGCTGGTGTTTGATAAAAGCTCTGGTCTTTGTTACACTTCTGGTCAGCGATTAGTGTTTCTTATAGGTGGCCTTCTTAATTTATTAATGCAGCTTCCTTGGATTTATTAGTACCAGAACAACTCTGTCTTCT